ATATATATATATACATATATACTTATATTCCACTAGTAACCACGACACCAAAACCCTAAACCCTAAAACCCTAAAAGCCCTACAAGGTACCCCTACTCTACTTCTTATAAAGCTCCAGACCCAATGCAGCTGCCAGGAGCCACGGAGCATCGCGCCGGAGGTGGAAATCCTCGAGCTCCCCAGCGGCAGCTCCAGGCCAGCCCTACCAGGGCTTAGGGGTTTAGGGGTGTTTAGGATTTCGGGTTTAGGGTTTAGGGTTTAGGGTTTAGGGGTTTAGGGGTTTAGGGGTTTAGGGTTTAGGGTTTAGGGGTTTAGGGGTGTTGAGGGTTTCGGGTTTAGGATTTCGGGTTTAGGATTTAAGGTTTAAGGGTTGAGGGTTGAGGGTTTAGGATTTCGGGTTTAGGATTTAAGGTTTAGGGGTTGAGGGTTGAGGGTTTAGGATTTCGGGTTTAGGATTTAAGGGTTTCGGGTTTAGGGTTTCGGGTTTTAAGGGCAGAGGGTTTCGGGTTTAGGATTTAGGGTTTAGGGTTTAGGGATTTGGAGCACCAGACTTGAATACTCTCTTTTTGTCGGAGCTGTCCCTGAAAGGAGCCATGATGAAAGGACATGTGTAGAGATAATGGGACTTCCTACTGTAGAAACCACTACAGTCTACTAAGGGGTTTAGGGGTTTAGAGGTTTAGGGTTCAAGGATCAGGGTTTAGGGTTTATAGGGGTTTAGGGTTTATATAGGGGCTTAGAGATATAGGTAGTTGTCAAAATTATGGTCCCTGTTGGATTACCCTAAATAGTAGGTGCCGTATTATAGTAAGGACCCCAATAAGGGGTTTAGGGTTTAGGGTTTAGGGTTTAGGGTTTAGGGTTTGGAGTACCATGCTTGAATGCTTTATTCTTCGGAACTGTTCCTGAAAGGAGCCGTGATGAAATGAACCTCTATACTGGTTTCTGCCTGGTTACTTCGGAGTGATTTTTTACCCAGACCTGCCAAACTCCCTTAGTTAAGGAATCTGCTCCAAAGGCTTTGTTTTGCGTGCCGCAGTCATAGTAGCCTGCTGCATAAAAGAAGCCCTAAACCCTAAACCGGTTGTCGTGAGGTTCCAATGGGGTTGGACAGGTTGTTGAATGTAACTGATTCCATTGAAGGTTCCTTTAAGAGTCAAGTGTTGCACGACTCCTTTGGTTTTATGCTGGGCAGTTTAGGGTTTAGGGGTTGGGGGTTCAGGATTTTGAGTTTCGGGTTTAGGGGCTGGGGTTTAGTATGCTATGCACTACAAGGCTGTTTGTTGTGTTTTTTGGTTTGTTCCTTTCGTGGTTTATGGTTACTGTAGAAGCGACCTCCAAATAGTGGTGTTTTTGTAGAATAGAATCTTTTGGTGCTCCGCAAGGCTTTTACGTTGCTTTGTTTGCAGGGCTTAAAAGGGTGAGGGTGTTGCGGTTCAGGGCTTCGGGAATTTTTTTGGGGGGTCTTGTTTAGGGTTCAGGGTGGCGGTGTTCTTGGAGATGTCGGATTTATATGTAGGGAGGGTTTAAAACGTTTAGGGTTGAGGGTCTAGGGTTTAGCTTGAGTTGTTTTCATGTGAGTTTCCTCGAGCTGACGTTCCTGTGGGAGTTTTCAGCATTCAGGGCTGCAGGGTTGCAGCATTGAGGGTTTTGAGCTGCGTCCCTAAACCCTAAACCCTAAACCGAGTCAAGGAAAGCCCATCCTCCGTTGGAGATCCGCTGGGTTTGGGATCTACACCACAGACCCATGCAGAATCCCTAACCCCCCAGGTACCCTACTATATAGGGTACTAGAGCCCCTAGGGCCCTATATAGTGGGCACCTGGAGGGTTAGGGAACTGTATTTTCCCTGCTCGGGTTTAGGGTTTAGGGTTTAGGGTTTAGGGTTTAGGGTTTTAGGTTGCTTTGAAGAATAGAGAATGTTGAAGTCGACTCCTAAACCCTGAACCCCATCCTCCCTCAACCCTAGACCCTAAAACCCCAACCCTAAAACACTAGACCCTCAACCCTAGACCCTAACCCTAAAACCCTAAAGCCCTAGACCCTAAACCCCAAAATCCTAACACAAACCCTAAAACCTAAACCCTACACCCGAGACCCTAAAACGCTGGACCCTAACCCCAAAACCCTAAACTCTAAAACCCTCAACCCTAGACCCTGCACGAGTAGACATGCTGAAGCCGACACCGGGAAAGACGTGAGGCCGAGCAGTCCACCGTTGGCAGAGAGCCACTGTCTCAGCTCAGCCTAGGGTCTCGGACTTTGGGGTTTTGGGATTTTAGGGGTTTAGGGTTTAGGGGTTTAGGGGTCAAGTGTTTAGGGTTTTTAGGTGTTTATGGGTTGAGGGTTTAGGGGTTTACGGGTTTACGGGTTTAGGGTTTTTAGGTGTTGGTGGGTGTAGGGTTGAGGGTTTTAGGGTTTTTTAGTTTTTTAGGGGTTTAGAGGTTTAGGGTTTAAGGTTTGGTCTTTAGTGCTACTATGCGTTAGTATTGTTGTACGGAATACCAAGTGCTAAAAGGCTTAAGTAGTCTAGCTCAGAGTACACTGTGGCCCAAAAGACGTACGTTCTTTAAGGAACTATATAGGAGCCAAAATAAGAAACCCTTAAAAAAGGTAGGTCTTTTTCGGTTACAGGTAGGGCTTAGTCAAGAGTTTAGTGTTCAGGGCCTCAAGGTCCAAAGGACCCAGTAATTTAGGGTGTAGGGTTTAGGGTTCTTCAAAGGTCTTATGAGATGTGTGGAGCCTGCAGCTTTACTATTGTCCTGCATTTTTTCCGATGGAAGGTGCCTATGTAAGGGGTGCTAAAAAGAGCAATTAGATACTGGGGTTTAGGGTTTAGGGTTTAGGATAAAGGTCTTGCAGGTCGGTGTTGGGTGCAGTACATGATTACTGGGGATGTGGACCCTCGGCCAAATTTATCTTGCAGCGGGGGGTTCATCCTTTGGAATCTTTTTTCACGGTGGGTATAGTCAAGCATTAGCCGTAGTTACCTTATTGTGGTTGTGCACCTAAGGGCCTTAAGTTCAGGGCTCCTTCGAGGGAACGAAAATGCAGGTTTGGGGTTTGGGGTGTGGGGTGTTTACACAGCTTCGAGAAGCATGTGTTATGCTTGACTCAACGGATATCGTATAAGCCCCTTCATTTTGAAGATGGGGGTTTCCAAATTGCAACTGGGTAGTTGGGGGAGGTACCCTCGTCCTCAAAAAAGGTATGTGGACAAACGGCCCGTTTCAAGTTCTGACGTAGTCGATCTCGTGGTTGCATGGTTAGGAGTATGGCTGTGGCTTCGTTGAGTATCCCGCATGTAGATACCTCGCGAAGCTTTACAACGCAGCATGAAGACATCAGAAACCCTAAACCCTCAACGCTCATCCCGAGTAAGCTTCCGTTAAACCACAAAGGGTCCGGACTAAGTACCTACTTGATATCAAGTAGACGTTTCCATAGCAGGGATCACTGTTACGGCTAGGCTCGGGCAAGTATCCCCCCGTAGACATACTTAGCAACCGTTGAACCTACGAAGATCTTGAGACCCTTCTAGAAAACCTTCTAGCAGCCCTTATAGGCCCTTGGTACTAAGCCCAAAACTGTTGAAGGAAGCCCCTTCCTAAACCCTACAGTAGAAGCTAGAAAGTTGGAACATCCTTATCCTCATGTAAAGCATAAGGAATTCCAGCATGAATCACCCTAAACCAATACACCCCCCCCCCCGGTACTAAACACCAAGACTGTTGAAAGAAACCCCTTCCACAACCCTTAAACCCTAAACCCTAAACCCTAAGCCCCAACAAACCCATACACCCCTTGTGAAACACGAGCCCGAGGCGATCGAGCTGCCTTTCTCCGCAGCCTAGAGGCTTGGTCAGCCCTAAGCCCCTATATTACCTCTAACCCCCTAAACCCCTGACCCCTATAAACCCTAAACCCTGATCCTTGAACCCTAGATTAAACCTCTAAACCCCTAAACCCCTAAACCCCTAAACCCTAAACCCCTAAACGCTCAACCCCTAAACCCTAAACCCTAAATCTCTAAACCCTAAACCCCTGCTCCCTGAACCCTAAACCCCTGAACCCTAAACCTCCAAACCCCTAAACGCCTAAACCCCTAAACCCCTAAACCCTAAAGCCCGAAACCCCTAAACCCTAAACCGCTTAGACCCGCCCTAAACCTCCTAAACCCCTAAGACCCTAAACCCTAAACCCTAAACCCTAAACCCCAAAGACCTAAACCCCTAAACCCCTAAACCCTAAACCCTAAACCCCTAAGACCCTAATTCCCCCTAAGCCCTGCTCCCGGAACCCGGAAGGCTTGGAAGACCGAAGCCGCAGAGGCCGCAATGGGGGGTTTAGGGTTTAGGGTTTAGGGTTTAGGGGTTTAGGGTTTAGGGTTTAGGGTTTAGGGTTTAGGGATTCCGTTCAGGGGTCCTTTTTCAAGAGGATTCAGGGGCTTTGGGTTTAGGGTTGAGGGTTTAGGGTTTAGCATTCAGGGGCTTTGGGTTTGGGGTTTTAGGGTTCAGGGTTCAGGGGTTTAGGGTGTAGGGTTCAGGGTTTCTTTGATAGGATTGGTTCTGGGGTCTTGATGGTTTGGTAGATTGTAGCAGGTTCGAAGTGAGGCTTTGGGGCTTAAGGTGTTGTGGTTTGGGGCCTTGGGATCAAATTTTTGGGTATTTCCATAAATTTCCTACCACCGGGTTAGGGATTGCTTTTGGGATTGTCTTGTGTTTGCAGTGTTTTTGTGCTTTTCTATTTGCTGCGTGGGGTTGAAGGGCTGCATTTCGGGGATTGGGGCCAGGAGAGTTGTATTCCGGATGTACAACTTGTGCTAAAGTTTAGGTTCCAGGGATAGTGGATCAACTCTGCGAGGTTAGAGAGTTTAGGTCTAAAGCTGTTGCTCTCGTTCTTCTTGTTTTGTTCATGGGTTCCAGTACCCTAAACCCCCAAACCCCAAACCCTAAAGTGTATTGTACTTGGGCGGCTGTTCGTTAGAACACGGTCGTCTATCGGGCTTCGGGTGCGGGATTCATGTAGCGCAAGCTTCAAGATGTTTGTGATACTCCTTTAGGGGTTTAGGGTTTAGGGTTTCGGGCTTTTCATGGCTGATCTTGACCTCCCATTCTAGCTTGCTTGTAGTACTCTCCCTCTAGCTTGAGGTGAGGTAAACCCTAAGCCCCAAACCCTAAGCACTAAGCCCTAAGCCTACGCCCTTACCTGCAGCCCCAACACGTAAAACATCCGCCTTTTCACCGACATCTAGAAGGCAATCGCGAGAAGGAGCCTTAGAGATTATACGGCTTAGGGCTTAAAGGATTTTGGTTAAAGGTTTAGGGTTTAGGGTTAAAGGTTTAGTGTTCAAAAGTGTAGGGTTCACGGAGGCCGAAGCCCCTGCAAGATCTACGCCCAAAGCCCAGCTAAGCGGTAGAGTCTGGAGAGGAGGTGGGTTTCGTGATCGCATGCAGGAGCTTGTGTATTTTGAGTCGTTGTAGCGGGGATACCAGTGCGCCCAAGCACTGTATTCAGCCTCATACCCAGCCACGCAATCCTACAGTCCTACAGCTATTCAAGCTACAACCCAAAACCCCGCAGCTTTAGACCCTTGCACTCTGCGCCCCTAAACCCTAAACCCTATTGAAAAAGTGTTGTTTACGGCTTCAGGGCCTTGAAAAGCTCTCAATCAACCTATGAACTACACCCATAGGCTCCATTATGGTTCCTTGTTTGTGGTTTAGATTTATAGGATCCTATAAGGTATAATCCCAAAAAGGAACTCTGCATTATAGTTCCTTGTTTGTGGTTTAGATTTATAGGATCCTAGGTAAACCCCAAAAGGAACTACAAAAGAGCCTACGGGTGTATAATCATTCTACGTTGGGGAGCCGAACCTTGGGGACCAAATGACCCTTATAAGTAAGGCCTGGGCCCTATACCCTTATACTATGACTCCCCATATTTTATATGAACCTGAAACCCTAAACCCTAAACCCTAAACCCTTAAACCCTTAAGCCCTAAACCCCTAAACCCCTAAACCCTAAACCCCAAAACCTTTTAAAGTCCATTTCGTCCTGAAGGTAAAGAAGAACTTTC